ATGATATATTACATTACTTTTATTTAACAAACAATCACACACATATCTCTTCTTCATTGGATCAAATCTATCTCCTCAAGAACTTCCCGTTTACTGTCAAACAACTGCAATAATAGAATTGAGTTCTCCATTCAACAATATATAGTAGTTTCAACCATGTTCTACCATCCATCAATTAATAGAGTACCGGCATGTAAGTAATGTTTATTTTATTTATTTATTTGCTCATTTGTTAATTTATTACAATCGAAGAGACTATTTTATAACAATTTGTGGGCCTTACCTTGTCTGTTTAAACTTTTAAAATTTTTATACCTTTTATTCAACTTACTCATTTAAATAAAACCACAGACATGTAATATTGGCATAATTATTGTAATTTACAACATCTACTTTGTTTATCGTTATTGGACAACACCCTAATATGGGTTTTTATTATTTCAGCATTTGTTTAACTTTGTATCGAGACCTGAGGATGCTTTGCATATTGTAGAAAGCGAAACCGGTCGTCAGATAGTTAAATTAAATTGATTGTGAGTAAGTCTTATTTATTATTTCTTTACCTATTTGAAAATATTTCAATCCAAAAATAATGATAGATAATAATCTAGACATAACTTTAAATTATTATAATAAAACATTACAGTGAGATATTGGATTGTAACTGTCACGTTTGAAAAGCGTTTTTTCGCTCCGAATATTTTATAGTTTATAATACGTAGGATCAAAGTATAATGTTAGTTTTTTACATTTTTAGCTTCTTGTAATAAATAATAAATTAATCTTGGTAGTTTGCCTGTTACAAAACTTATTGATACAAAATACAGTTCGTGTTTGGTAGGTAATTGAAGTATAAAATTACAGTAGATGCATTCCAATGTTCCCTGTGCCAATACCATAGGTTTAAAGATCCTTCAAATTGATTGACGAACCATTGTGTCTAGTCTGAACACAGGTTTACATTGGGAAAAAAAGTGTACCAGTTTTATATGATGGGAAGTGTACCAGAATTGTCACGTATTGTGACTCAATAAGTTCCAATATCTTTTAAGTTATCTGTTATCAGAACAATGTCGTCCACAAATCGTAGGTGGAAGAGCATTTCGCCGTCGACATTGATTCCTTTGGCTTCCCACTCCAATTTTTTAAAAGCATGTTCCAGAACTGGTGTAAAGAGTTTGAAAGATAACGTGTCTCCTTGTCAGATTCCTCTATTAATTTTTATACAGTATATTTTAATACACTTTCCTCTAACGCTCTCAATACGCTGTTAATTTCTATTGTATATAATGCTTTTGCGAAAGTAGAACTATATACGAAATTGTAAATAAATAAATAATAATTGGGGGGTGATTTTTACTATATACGAAAGCAGAACCAATGGTTGGTTGTATTCGGTGGATTTTTAAATAATCTTTTTATAAATTCATAAATAACTCTAGGTCTTTTGGATCGTACTTTTTTGTGTAAAACAATGGTAATTGCACTGTGCCATCTCGTAGATGTTTCACTTTAGTGCAGACATAAGCTGAACAATATCTTTGTATTCTCTAAAAGTATGTCTAATAAATATAAATAATTTAATAAATTTAGTCTGGTTTTATACATAGGAAAGTTTTCAATATTGCCGAATTTTAATGAGCAAAAATTATTATTGGATACTACTCTGTCTAGCATAACGGCGTCAATTGTTGAAAAATTACGACTATTTACTTTGCTAAATCTTATTTCCATAGGGAATTATATTTATTTTGTAAAAGAAAAAAAAACCAAAGTCTATGTTGGTTCTATCCTACAAAAATGTCAACAACAATGAAATATGTCGCGTTGCCTTACCTCTTCTGATTGACTGCCTAATTTTATGGAATTTATTTCCTTAAAATAATTATATTCTGTACAATAAATAATATGGTGCAAATAAATAAATAATAATTGGGGGGTGATAATTTTAAAGTTTTATTTTATTTATTTTTTTACTATATTTACACCAAACAAATGGTGATGGCACAAAAACTATTTTGTAAATAGCAATCTTTCTGTTTTGCTATCCAAATTTATAAATGAGTATACATTTCAAAAATATAATATACGTTTTCGGATTAATAAATCCATCATCAGTGCAAACCTGAAAGTATATAACCACTTTAATTAAAAAGAACGTTAAATTAAAATGTTGACAAAGGTTAGAGCAAAATGTGGTTAATACTTACGGTTGTACATGCTAGTAGCCACCAAAATATATGGGTCAAAACCCTTTAAATGTTTTAAATTTGTAGTTGTTTTACATTATTAATAGTTATAATTTGTGATGTTTAAGTTACCGTTGGATAGGTAACATGGCGGCGTATGACTCTACATGAGTAAAATGGTCCTGAGACGAAGTGTATACGAGGACCTGTTGATAACAACTGATCAAAATGACATTGTTGACATGTTAGGACGGATGTTGTGTCAGAGCAGTCAGTGTAACTTACGGTAGTTGTCTAAAAATGACAGATGTCAGCTGTATTTAAATTGAAAAAGTTAAAATTATAATAATGTAAACAGTATCAACCATCAATATTGTAATCTGTATTGTAAATTAGAGTTAGAGTGTAGGTAGGTGTAATCTGAAGTTAGAGTGTAGGTAGGTTGTAAAGGCAACTAACTATGCAGTGTATTGTGACAATATGTGGAACTGAACCTTAAACACAATTACTTGTAACAGTTCCACATATTGTACAATACATCCATAAGCTATTGAACTTACACCTACCTACACTCTAACTTATAACTCATCCCTTTTTACTTTTATATTTCTTAGGCACCAAATGTTCCTTTTAACATATAGGGCCTTTTGTTTTCTTGAGTTATAACTTGAGCAATGTAGGAACAATATCACACCTAACCATCTTTCAGCCATCAATTTTCTGTTAGTCTGGCATACTTGCCCACACACATAAACAACCTACCATCTTTACTTTACACACATAACCAGTAATTCATGTTCACGTACTTATAACTTAAAATTTTTTATTTATCTTTACTAGGTACCAAATGTAGTTTTTTGACATAGAGGGCCTTCCATACTTAAGTTTTAAGTTGAGTACTACACGAACACCACATTACAATCACATTCTTATCATATTTACATTTCAGCTCAACAACATATCTAAACACACCTCCACCTACTACATCAATACTCAATAATAAATCTTTTAGGACCCATCTTCCCACATGTGCCTTTTTACCATTTTCTAGGTACCAAATGTCTCACAACATACAGGGCCTTTTGACAAAATCTTTAGCTTAAAATAAATAGATCCTTACACATGTATAGTTGGTTGCCTATCAATCCTACAAAATTTCATAAATTCCAGTTGACCCACATTAATTTTTAAAAAACCAATTTTCAATGTTTCAAATATAGCTATTTGATTAATTACAATACAGATTACAATATGATGATCTGATACATTTTTAGACAACTACCGTAAGTTACACTGACTGCTCTGACACAACATCCGTCCTTACATGTCAACAATGTCATTTTGATCAGTTGTTATCAACAGGTCCTCGTAGACACTTCGTCTCAGGACCATTTTACTCATGTAGAGTCATACGCCGCCATGTTACCTATCCAACGGTAACTTAAACATCACAAATTATAACTACTAATAATGTAAAACAACTACAAATTTAAAACATTTAAAGGGTTTTGACCCATATATTTTGGTGGCTACTAGCATGTACAACCGTAAGTATTAACCACATTTTGCTCTAACCTTTGTCAACATTTTAATTTAACGTTCTTTTTAATTAAAGTGGTTATATACTTTCAGGTTTGCACTGATGATGGATTTATTAATCCGAAAACGTTTTGCAATGTGTTTGTGATAGCCCGTTTGGGGCATTTTTATATACCTTTTATAAAGGATTTTAAACAATTTTTTGTGATATATGGTATACAGCCAGCTACAGGAACTTAGTTTCCTCGTGGAATTTTATTGGTTTTTGTTAGGTAACGAACTTGAACAAAAATCTTAATTTATTTTTTACCTGTTACCTTTGCTTTTGCAATTTCTGCCTTTTGGTCTCACTTTTCTTTTTTTTCTATTTCCTTTACTAATTTCTAACAGACTTGCTTCCATTGTTAAAACTTAATACAATTATGATAAACAAGTGCTTAATACGTAATTCATAAACAACATAACATAACCTCTTAATCCTTTCCCCCTTAATTCCGACAACGTGATTAAGGAAACATAGTCCTCTCGTTTTTAATTTACAAAGTACTACCATAGGAAAACAAGTCTATTTCTTTGTTTATGCTACTACTATAAAACGAATCCCGAAACAGCATAAAGAAACCTGCTATAAGTACGCACGATATAATGGATTTACATCATAGATTGCAAATTAATTATTTAAAGATATATCGGGTTTTGCTTGAAATTTGGATTTATCGGCATTTGCTCGAACTGGTCAACTTTGTACATCGTTTTAAAGGGAAAATATCGGTTTTTGTTGTAATTTTATATTCTAGAAACAGAGAGGGCTACTAAATTAGTATGAATTCATATTCAGGTTAAAAAATTTAAAAATGGATTTATCGGTTTTTGCATTTATGCTCCTCGTATGTAATGTTTTCACTCTCGTGCAAATTTCCAACGCCGACCGTGCGTATAGAAGTATAACTTCTAAAATATGACAAGACGTGGAAAAATATCTCTTACTCGATTCAAAAGTCTTAAAATATATTGTGTGACACCGCACCAACGCACTCTATGAACCGTTTAATTAAATTATCTCGATCATAGGGTCCCCCGATCCAGTTAGTGCCATGTCTGAAAGCCATGTCTATTAAGGCTCAACAAGGAGATAAACCAACAAAAAGAAAAAAATTAATACGTGACTACTAGCTCATAATACCTATAGTACTGAAAATGCAGGAACTTATCTGGCTCACAGTGAAAATAGATAATTTTAATATTTTAGTAAAATAATATTTTGCTTCTTACCTCAAACATGAACGTATCAACTTCTGCTCTGATGTCTTCGTCAGGTATATCTTCTCCATTTTCTTTCGCTTGTAATAACATATCTAACAAAGCTACTCGTTTCTTGATACCATCGTCTGAGTTTTGTTTTTTATCGAATTTCTGAGTTTTGTATTCTTCTTTTCGTGCTTTAATTATGTTGTTCGTAAATGTATGAAGAATTTTTAAATTTTCGGTATACTCTTTATAAAGTGACGTAAATCTGAATAGCACCGGATTACGTAACCATGCGGAAAAAAACCTGAATACGAAAATTTCTAAAAATCTTCCTAGAGCTTTTACGTATTCTCGGTTTGCGTTACGTTGAACGTTTAGGCATGTACCAAAGGCCGTTTCTAAAATACAGAGGCTTAAATAAGAATTAGTACAATGGCAATTAATTTCACGTCGTGTGTAATAACATTTACTTTGTGCAATTATTCCATCAATAAATTTTCTAGGATAACTTGCGTAAATTTTGACATTAATATTTACAATACTATTTTGAATTGACAATAATATATAAATATAAAATTAACAATAATATTTTGACGTATATTTAAAAAAAATATATAAGTTCCAAATAATTTCTGTATTTTTCTTTTAACAAGATATTTGATAAAAACTAAGTTTATACAAGAAAACGGTTCAGAAACAATTTTTTTACGTTATGATAGTTATCCAGAAATAAATTCAACTTTAATGGAAAAGATGATTATTTCTTATAATCGTTTCCAAAAGTAAATTGAAAAACGTTGTTGATAGTGGGTCTCCTTGCCTTAGCCCTCTTTTAATTTAAAATGTCTCTAGTGTTAACTTAATCTACATAAATTCATTTTTAGTTCTGCTTAAGGTTAGCTTTATTAGCTTACTTAGGATATCCAACTGGTTTATTGCTTCAAACAATTTTCTCGTATTAATTATATCGTATGCCTGTTTGAAATCAACTAATATTGCATATATCTTAATTTTGTACTTATCCGCTTTTGGACTCTAAAAAAGATATACACTCGGGCTACGAATATTACGGACTGATAGAGTTATGAACAAAGTGGAATAGCTTAAAGATGTTAAAAGGAAACATTCTTCTTCTTCTTCCCCTTTTTATGTAGACACGATTTTGTCTGTTTTTCAATGTGCCTTAAGTAAGTTGTCAGCCCCAATTCCCCGTGCCGCCCGAAGTACATCGATCACCGCATCCACTGTACTTTTACCCTGGCAGAAACCATATTGTCTCGAGACAGGCCTCAGGCTCATACGCCACTATCTAGACCGGTAGACCTGTCAGACTTAAGGGATCTCACCGACAAAATCAGTTCATCCAAGTAAAGGGAATCCCACACTCAGCATTGACGTCTCTCCACACAACATGCCACCGTGCTTCTGCAAACAGTTCGTTGACTATCTCCAGCTTCTGGTCCAACGACATCTCATACGGAGAACAGGCGTCGAAATGCTTCATTGAGATTTTATGCCCTCGTCCCAGATGTCTTCGTCCAGCTTGTCGCACACTCCCCTCCAGTGTCTTTTCTTCTCGGCTCGGATCCTACTATTCAACTCCCTCTTTTTCGCACGGTAAGACGTCCGTTCCATAAGTTCCACCTCTTGCGCGCTCCGACGTATTCTCGCCCTTGTCAAGTGGCGACCAAGGACCACGCACTCTCTTCTCAGTTGCTCTATCTTGACACACCAACATCAAGGCATTCTGCCCGTACGCCCAGTACCAATTTTACTCATATGCATCGCGGCTTTCATAACCTGCTCGAGGCCTTCCACCGAAGATGTCGAGCCCCATGTACCTTCCGTCTAATACTCTCATCATATACACTATGGTGATTTTCTATTTTTTAATTTCCTTAATACTTCCTTTAGCTTTTCCTTCTCAATATTCATTTCTTCGTTGGTCATCACCTCTGGTGTTGGTGGTTCAGTATCGTCAGCTTTAGTAAATAGTAATCGAAAGTAGTCTACCCATGTTTCCTTCTTATTGTGTTTCAAACTGAATGTGGAAATCGTGTTCCATCTGTTTTAAGAAGCTCTATCAGTGTTCCCATTTTATTTGTCTAACTAAAGTATTCGTTTTATTTCTGATTTGATTATTCATAGTGGTTACTGGTTATATGCCTTTTTTTGTTGTGTTCTGATTTGAGAAAGGCTTTCTTCTTTTTTTCACATTTTGTCTTCTCTTCATGTCTAAACCATGGTGTTTTATTTTTTGATATGTTGGTGTTAGTTACTTGAGAGGAAACCTAAATGTGGTATTTAAATAGCTCTTACGCAATATAATGGACTGGTATATGGAGTCATGAAGAAGAACACATAATTGGATGCAAAATTAAGATAACCATATTTATCTTTACTTTGAATGAGAATATTGTTCTGAAGCTATTTTCTTGTGGCATTGTAAATTAATTACTATTAAACTGGGAATAAGCCACAATTAAAGATAAAAATACGTTTATTGACGTTTCAATTTCCACTTCGGAAATCGTTCTCAAAATACAAACATTTTGTATTTTGAGAACGATTTCCGAAGTGGAAATTGAAACGTCAATAAACGTATTTTTATCTTTAATTGTGGCTTATTCCCAGTTTAATAGTAATTAATTTGAATGAGAATACGGAACAATATAAGCAAACCTAGTTTGGTATTATTTGGTTTTATTTTCTATCTATTGTTACCTTCTTAGGGCTTACTGCAGAATATTGATGATATATTTTCACTTCCACTCTTTTAAAAGCTCTACAGTATTCGTCGAAAGTATCCTATAAAGATATAAAGTTTTTTATATCTAAATATTTTTAGGTAACTCAACTAACAGACCCGTTTATAATTTTTATGAAATTTCTGTGACTTAATCATTATACTCGGGCCACGAATCCTCAAAAAGTCCCTTAGTTTTCGATAAACCGATAACTCTCTGGCAACCGGGCCATGTTTATTCTCTTGGGGGTTGACAAAAACAATATTAATAAATATTTAAAATAATTACCACAAATAGCATCCAGTGAGGCCAAATTAATATGTTCAGTAATTTCCACGGATTCATTTAAATTTTGTTTAACTTTCTTTTCCATGATTTCTGTCATAATAGTAAACGATTTGTTAAAAACTTTAACAAATTCTTCGAGGATTTTGAAATGAAAAGTTGGAGTTATCATTTTCCTTCTAATCTTCCACTTTTGTCCTAAAAAGAAAAAAATATATTATTACAAAAATTATTTAGCAAATTGTTCTTGTTATGGATACATTTTTATCGTAGAGGACTGTTTTTCAAAATACTTTTCGAAAAGATGAATAAACTTTTGCATACATTTTAACCAATTTCGAAGTCCAGAATAGGCGTAAAAATGCATCAACTACTTCCTCAGGTGCTGAGAATCGTTTACGAAATATTTTCCTAGATGGTATTAGATTATGTGAGGGTCGTTTAAGGCCGGGACGGCCTCACCGCACTTCGGACCCTATACAGATATTTTGTGCATACCTTAATCTAGTTAAACTCTAGGAATGCCAATACTTTTGATGAAGTTGATTAGCTTCCTAGGTGACTTGTTTCCTATGCCAGAGCACGCAGACTCACCTCTCTAGGAATTTTAGTCGTTTGCAGAACAGTGTACGCAGTTGCATGTATATGTTCTGCGTTTCTTTTTAATTGTGAGACGAAACGACAGTTTCTCACTATCTGATTTGCCCATCTTCTTGAGATGATATCTCCGGGGCTAGTACCAGTGAGAAACGCCAGTGATCCATTTAATAGCTTTCTTACTCATTTCGAGAAGGCGGTTGTTTGCAGTATGGCGACACTTTTATGAGCTTTTTGCTTTGCCTTTGTCCTGGTGTGTTAGACCATATGATCTTAGTGATTGAGTTCCCAGGTACGGAGTTCCTCTTGATTGTGGCTCTTTTCGATAGTCCACAGAAGGGTTGGACCTGGAATGGGGTATTAGCTCCTTTTTTGCGAGGCTGTCAGTTCTCATTTCCTGCAATTACCTTGTGACTGGCACCCACATCACAGTTTACATTGTTGCGTTCGAGCTTCTTGAGAGATTGTTTACAGTCCCAATACCAACTTTGGATACATGTAAATGGGACTTTAAGCCTTTATGGCGGCTTCTTGGCTGTATGACTAAAATAAAGACTTTTGCCCTACGAGTGTCTCGGTTGAGACACTCGTAAAATTTTCCTAATGGGATAATGGAAATCTGTTTTTTTCTGTTATTATTCTTTTGAAGCTCTACAATTTAATTTTTTTAACATCTTTTAACACCAATAATAACAAATTATGCGATATTCCATGTGAATAAAAGACATCTGTTAATGTGGGATTGAGTGTATAAATTAATGTATAGAAATAAGAAAACATCGTGTCTTGATTTTGTATGCTATATGGAATATAAAAAATAATACAATTCTCTAAAAAAGTACTTTAATAAAGCAAGAACAAAAAAATGTAAAAAATGTTTTTAAAATGATCTTAAACATCAGATGTAAATGATTTGTTTGTTTTATGCATAACTTGTTTCGCTGCTTTTGTAGAAATCGCATGTATCACCTGTTGTCATACTGACCTTTTGTAACTTCCGCAGATGATCGAGACTCGATTTTTTTTACCACAAATGAAGCACCTCACTCGTATCTGTGCAGGTGGCTCTTCATTGCCTTCTGTTGATCTTTTGTATTATGTCAGAAAACATTTTATATCACTTGGCAGTGACTGTATGCTGAGGCGTTCAGAGAAGTATGGGTTCATCAAACCTAAGAAGAGCACCTTCAAAAATTCTCTTGTATGGTTGGAAGCTGCATCGAAATGAGTTGCATTAAAGAGCAGTTATCCATTGATATCCGCGATGGTCATGAGTTGGAGGAATATAACTAGCGGCCATCTTCTTGCTCTTCTTGATACAGAGTATGTGCCACACATTTTATCAACAGTAGCAATTCAAACTTTGATGTTGTATTGCAAGATGATATCAGGTTTAGAGTTGAAATCACTACCACCGCTTTATTTGTAACCGATTTTATATTTTTTTAATCCAAATAACGAATATTTCATTGGCCTACTTTTCTTAGACAAAAAGTGCTGCGGTATTTTCCGTTTATTTTTTTTTTCATAGTTGAAGTTGAAGTATTTGACATGCTATCGCAGAATTTGTCCAGCACTACTTATATCTAGGTTAGCTTATAAGTTCATTCAGTCAATGTTCTTTCATCAGACTCTACTGTTACAATCGCCTTTTTAAAAACAAATCCTAGTATCCTCAAAACCTTCATTACAAATCGTGTATCTGAAATTCAAACACTTAACAAAAGGATGCGACTGGAGGTATGTGCCTACTAAAGACAATCAAGCAGACTTGATATCACGAGGTATATTACCCAGTCACATTTTAGATTCATTATGGTTTACTGGTCCCAATTGGTTAAAGCTAGGATCAGTAGACTGATCTACTATACAAACGAAAGTCGATTCTTTGTCAGAAATGCAAACCCAAAATTTGGTTTCTTAATCCTCCGAGATCATTTCAATTTTTTGTTCGGAACATTAATGCAACGTACGATGGCATACGTTCTCAGATTTATTCAGAATTTAAAAAGGTCCAATCTATTATCTTAGGGTCTTTTGTCCAGCTTCAAGTTAAAAACAACTACAAAAACCCTAGCCAACATTGCTCAACGAGAATCCTTTTACAATGAACTTCAAATCTTAACCCAAAACAAGTCAAGATCCAAATTTATCTCCCTTTTTAGATAACGAAAATCTAATCAGAGTGGGAAGTCGACTAAAAAACTTTTCGACAAAAAATATACAATAGTTAGTCATGCAAAGCATCCCTTCACAGAACTACTTTTTCAATTTAAGCATAAATATATTTTGCATGAGGCCCACAACTTTTATTATCTCATATTAGAGAAGAATACTGACGAATATTAGGCCGCAATCTAGCGCGGTACACTGGAAAGATATGTCTCAAATGTTTTCAATGCAAGTCATGAGCATACAGCCATACTCATCATGGGCAACTTACTATGCGAGCAACGAACTCGATTTCTAACCCCTTTCATGTCACAGGCGTGAACTACGCTGGTCCTTTTCAGATCAAGAATCGCAAAGGTCAAGGTTTCTAATTAGAAAAATGCTACGTTTACATCTTTCTTTGCTTTGCCATCAAGGCAATTCATTTAGAACTGGTTTCTAGTCTCTCAACTGAATCGTTTTTACAAGCTTTACGACGTTTGCTCTCTAGAAGAGGAAGCTTTATGACGTTTATAGTTATCGTCTAGTTCTGTAGTGTTTTTTCATCCAACCAGCATCCCTGAACATACAGTCCACCCATTATCCAACAAACACATTTGTTGTTAAATTTTATTAAACATATTTGTTGTTAGATGTTTTATATTGACTTTTATGCTAAAAATTAGTGTACTTCTTAACTTTTCTTTGATTAGTTCATCACAGAGAAATCATATTACTCTGAAATATAAGAGAAATTCCTTGCTGACTACTCAGTATGTACTTTTTATAGTATATAGAGGCATTATAACGGTATACACTTTTTAAAATCGAATTAAAATTGATGTATATATGAGAAAAAAAAACTTGTGTTCCTTAGATATTTTATAAAATTAATTATATTATAAATTAGATGTCATTGAAGAATATACTATGTGAATAAATTTAAAAACAAAACTTCTATTAGTATCAACTAAATTGATGAAACCAGTAGAACGAATACTTACCAGTGCTTGTTAATAATCCGTCCCCTAACCATGGTTCAAATAAATCATACCCGCTGGTTTTATCCAAATGAATGTTTGAAGTCATGATTTTCTCTAAATATTCTGGTTTGTATATCACCAAGTGTAACCTGGGTCCCATCCATAATTTATAGAAATTTCCATATTTTTTCTGCAGGTCCATAAAGCTTTGTAGCAGAGCTAAAAATAATTATACAAATCTTATGATAGGTTTAATGAAATTAAATAGTTAGCACAGCATTAGTACAGCATTTTTATGGTATTTTTTCATAATTTAGCTCTAAATAACGGTTACCAAAAATGTTATATTATTTTTAACTAAGAAATTAAAAACTATTTTTAGTAACAAAAGTTTCCTGTTTTCCACCATACTTTATATATGGTTTTCGCCTTTGAATTAGTGACCTTAATATTTATATTTTTTTCTTTTATAATTCGTCTTTCTGCTATGAACACCACAAATACAATTATTTCATGGAGAAAAAATAAATTTAAATGATATTGAAGAAATGAAAAAACAGAAGGTAAAGACAAAAAAAGATTAAGAATTTGAAGATGTGTGGGAAAATTAACGGGGAACTGATCCATAATACCAGTTATGCAGATGAGACTCTAATTTTATGCGATAATCTACAAGACCGTACATCTGCTGAGCAGTATCAGCAAGATAGGCAGAAAAATGGGTCTTAATATAAATGTGAGTAAGACCAAATCTATGATCCTTTTCTCGAAATCCATATCCTGATCCAAAATTACACGTCTATGGACAACTAGTTGAAACACTAATTGTTTAAATATTTAGGAAGTGCTATTAGGGGGCAAATGGATCCCGATAATGAAATCAGACCCCCCCCCCCAGTAAAACCATGGCAAAGGCCTGAGTAATCATTATACTATCTTCCAAGAGAAAATTTATGCTATAGAGATATGCTCTCTACTTGCGATGAAAGAAGGCTCTGGAAAATGACAAGAGTCACAGATTTAATCTGCATATCATGGCTGAAGTGGAACTGGGCGGACCATGTGGCCAGAATGAATGACAGACGGTGGACCTAAAAAATTACAGTATGGAGACACACAAGCGATAGACAGAAGCAGGGTAGACACCTAACGTCAAATGAATCCACTGGAATTGACTGCAGGAAGCTCAAGAACCGAAAGATCATGGATAGAAATTAGGCGGAGGCATATGTTCAACTTTGGACACAGAATGCAGGATGATAATAATGATAATTGATGAGAGTTGTGCCTGTAGGAACTTATAAAAAGAGGGACTGCAGGAACAAAACACACACTCATATATATATATATATATATATATATATATATATATATAAATATATATTTATATATATATAATATTAAATATATATTTTTCTATATATTAATATATATGTATTTATATATTATATATTAAATATATATATATATATATATTTAAATATTTATATATATATATATATATATTTATATATTTATTACATATATATATATATTTATAGTTTATTAATATATATCTTTATATATTTAAATATATATTATATATATATATATATGTATATTTATATTATATTATATATTTATTACTATATATATATATATATATATATATATATATATATATACTTTATAACTATATCTGATAGCTAAGCGACTTTAAGGCAGTGGAATTGAATCGTATTAACTCCAAGTTAGTTTGGAACTGTCTGCAGTTTAATACTCTGTTAATACTCTGGGTGCCTGGTCATACTGGCTATAAAGGGAACGAAAAAGCGGAAAACTACTTGCAAAATAAATATTCAGAGATCTAGAACCTTTCGTTGGCATAACAGGATTTTATAATGAACCTCCGAAAAGACCTGAGAATTATCGTAGGTCTCCTGACAGGGCACTCTCGCCTCAAAAGGTACATGAACAAAATCTGGCTAACAGAAAGTGGAGCTAACTGATTGCAGGATTTAGATAGGATAAGGCTCAATTCATTTGAACATTATCCACTCGAGTCCTACAACTTTGTAGAAGTGACACCTAAGGCCGTAATAGACTTTATTAAAAAAAGCTGTGCTGAAGGGACAACTTTAACCTAGGGATGAGCCACAATAGACCTTTTGGATAAAAAAAAGATGGTAAGCGCCCGCAGTATGTTAAACCTACTCTAACCTAAGCTAAAGGAGTCAGTCATAGAATAAAGTAAAATAAAAGCAATCTTTTGCAATGATACCATCAATCTGAAGCTACGACAGAGGATCGTAAATGTTTCATATAGTCAGCAATTTTATACCGCACTGAAATGAATAAAAGGAAAGTAGCCAAATAATGTAGCTACGTAGAACAAATTGGTTAACAGGTTTGTTTATTAGAATTATGAAAGTGAAACAAATGCAAGTTGAATGGAGAAGCAGTATATGCAAGGCAGATAGGCAGATCAACAGTAGATGCAATTGTCACTATAAGACAGCTACTGGAAAAATACTGAAATAAAAAAAAACAAACGTTCAAACTGGTCTTATTTATTTCCAGGAAGAATATGATAGAGTTCCGTAAGAGGTTCTGTGGGGGGCTCTAAAATAAGAAAAGATTACAGCGAACATGTAAACATTATAAGGAACATAGGAAATAACAACTCGTGTTGGGACAGGTATGGAAGAGACTGATAATTAGCAGCAAATACTTAAAGGAAATTTAAAACATAAGCTAAAATAGAGAAGACAAGTCAGTGAGAAAAAAGGTTTAAATCTTAAAAAGAAAAAAATCGGAGTATTTGGAATGCTGATTTGTAAATGGAATTACTACAAATAAAATGATAACTTTGCATGGTGAAATCACTGGGAAAAGTAATATTTTTAAGTACCTAGGATAGGTATTACAGAATAATGCATGAAGTACAGTTAGGGCGTGGGATAGGAAGTGAAAGGAAGCGAGAGGTGTGTTGTATGACAAAAATATCCCAATGAAACTGAAAGGAATATTCTCTAAACCTACTGTAAGATCAGCTGTGTTGTACAGAAGTGCATATAAAGCAGTTAAAAACAGAGATGAACAACTAATGCATCTGCCAGAAATAAGATGTATATTCAAATACAAAAACTATTCAGAAACTTTCAAAAAACATAAAATGTCGAAAAAATTCCTATCTAGGTCACCTTCTTTGAGATAAACAGTATTGTATCTTACAACTAATATTAAAGACCAAGGTAGAAGACTGAAGAGAAGCTTGTAAAAAATAAATTTTTAAACTTGGACAATATCGAGAAAATGTTTGCAGAGTAAGTACCAACTTCAGGTAAACGTAACATGGAACATAAAGAACATATTGGTCTCTTTTGTGTGTCAACCATTTTCCATCCACTCCTGAATTTAGGTCTGTCCCAATTGCTTCCATCTTTCTCTATTTTGCGCCAATATAATCTACTGTTGGTCTGCCATTGCTCTTATGTCATCCACACATCTTTTTTGAGGTCTTCCCATGCTTCTTGTTGTCGTCCTTGGTCTCTATTCTAGAATTCTCCGTGTCCACCTGTTGTCATTATATTGGGCTACGTGTCCTGCCCATTGCCACAATATCCCTAATCTTCGTTCTACGTCTTATCTCGGTGTTTCTAATCTTGTCCCTTAGTGATATTCTAAGCATGATTCGTTCCATTGCTCTTTGCGTTGTTTAGTAGATTTTTTGGTAAGGGCTACTGTCTCCAAGCCGTAGGTACAAACTGGTAGTATGCATGTGTTATACGCCTTTTCCTTTAAGTTTACAGGAATGGAGGTGTTTTTCAAGATATATGCTAGTTTGCCGAAAGCGCCCCATGCCAGTTGTGTTCTTCTTTTAATTTCAGCATCTTCATTTGGTTTTCCTAGTTTGATGACATGACCTAGATATACATAATGTTAAAGCCTACCGCTCCTGAAACTGCATTTAATTGTTGTAACATATCATTTAGTTCAAGGATATTATCGGCTATTAAAACTATGTCATCTGCGAATCTCAAGTGGTTTAAGTATGATCCGTCGACGTTGATACCCTTGTTGTTCCATTCTAGTTTCTTAACAATGTCTTCTAGAGCAAGGGTAAATAGTTTGGGAGAGATGGTGTCTCCTGTCTTACTCCCGTTGTAGTCTTATAGGATTAGTTTTTGTGCTTTCGTCTAGCTTTATCTGCATGGTGGCATTTTCATAAATGTTTTTAATTATGTTAGTGTATCTTGAATCTATACGTGCATTTTCTAGAGATTCAAGCACTGCCCATAATTCGATGGAATCGAATGCTTTATGGAAATAGACGAACGCCATATGAATTGGAACATTATACTCGGTGCATTTTTCTATTAGTGTTCTTACGGTGTGCAAGTGGTCTATGGTACTAAAATGTTTTCTGAATCCAGCCTGCTCGATAGGTTGATAGAAATCGAGCTTATGTGTTAGGCGGTTGGTTATGATTTTAGTTAGTAATTTATACAGATGTGATAGCAAGGATATTGGTCGGTAATTCTCGATGTTTGCTTTGTCTCCTTTCATGAATAGTAGAATGACTTCGGAGTTGTACCATTCTTGAGGAATCTTTCCTTCATCAATTACTTTATTAAATAAAATATTTAATACCTGTTCCATTTTTCTGCCACCAATTTTCAAAATTTCAGCTGTAATTTTATCCGGTATTTCTTCTGAGCCGGTGTTAATTATTATTCGTTCAATTCGTCGTTGTTGTGGTTGTGTATTTACCGAGTATATTTTAGTGTAGAATTTTTCAATAGTCTCGCTTATTTAATTTCTGTCTCGGACGGTGACGTTTTCTCAGTTTTTATTTCTATGAATTTTGTTATGCCGCTTGAGTTTTTTGCTTTCAGTACTTTCATATTACAGTTATCTTGTATTATATCTTTTATTAGATTGTTAGTATAGTTTCTATGATCGTTCCTAATTTCTTTCTTCGTGTTTTTGTTTAAACTTTTGAAGCTGTCCGAAGTTCGATCTGTTCTGTATCGTCTCTCTTGGAGTAGTTTTTTGTATTAGGTTGGAGTTTAGATGTTTTGGCTGTTTTCGTGTTTGAGCATATTTTCTTAACCGATGTTATACAGTTACTTTTATTTTATTGGCTAGTCCATTTATATCCATTTGTTTCAATGTCTCTATTGATTTTAGTCGTTAGCTTAGCTCTTTTTGGTATTCCGTTTGTTTTTGAAACAGGA